AATAGTTCCGGCAGATCTACTACTGTGTATACTACCTGTGAGGGGTAAATGGAGGGAGAAACAAAACAAAACAAAACAACTCCCGAAGAACATGCAAGAATAAAGTTAAGAGGCAACAAATCCTCTTCCACACAGGACTGAAACTGAGTGTACTCAGGTCAGCAGCAGGAGGTCCCAACACACGGCTGCGCTCCTCCCCTGGCCCGGGAGGCTCCCCTCTCCCACAGCCGCGGCACCCTCGCCAGTTGTTAGAGTAACCTCACTGACACATGCAGCGTCCTGCATGCGCCAAGGAATTCGCTGGTACTACATAAACGGGGCTCCCCGCTTCTTCCCGAGGAACAAAGGCACATATAGATTTTAATCTATGGGCCCACCTGCAATTTCTGCAAGACCTGGTTGACTTCCTCGTCTTCATCAGCCATCATTTCCCAGCCACTCTCGGCTTCTCCGCCCCCAACTTGGTAACCACAGAGACTCACGCCCACCCCCATCGTGGAGCCAGAGCGACATCTAGGGCACTGGAGGCTTACCTGCACCTGAGTAGAGGAGCTGGTGCGTTATGTGGGTTTGGGTTTTGAGGGTTTTTTTCATGTATCCAAACATTTTTTTTAATTAAAAAAATACATTAAAAAATACATGGACTAATTATATGTTTAACAAATTAAAATAGTGATTTCTGATTGCAAGAAAAAAACAAAAAAACAGTTTTCTTATGAGAATCACTATAAAGTTATAATGTAAATGCATTTTTTACCGTGAAAAGGCACAAAATTTCCTTATGGACAACTTGTCATTTATCCACCATGTAATATCAAATACACCTGTAATCCGTAAAGTAAATATGATTCTATTGAGGGGAAAGAGCCAAATCAAAGACATCGTTGAGGAAAAACATGTATAGTAGACTATGAACTCTACAGAGGACAAAGGCCCTAATTTTACATATTTTTAAACTCCCTAGTTCCTGACAAGGTTCTCAGAATATAGTTTCTCAGTTAATGAGTAACAAATTGACTTACTGGTTAAATTAGCAACTCTGGAGCTGCCTGACAACAGTATAAAACAAATGGATAATTCAGGAGTAACTGGCTTTTGGACTTGAATTTTAGTTATTCAAAACAACATAATTTAGTACCAAATGTTTAAACAACCATCATAATTGCTAAACTGTGAAATCAGCATTATTTATATCTGATCAACTATACAAAACTCATCAATTTTTCTTTAAAAAAAGGGGGGATAATAGAAATCCCAAAGAATAAAGGAGAGACTACTAATTAGGGGTCACATTTACTAACCTAGCACCATAATCCCAGTCTTGGGCCATCCCAAGTGGCTGGAAGGAGGAAGGGAAGCGGTCAGCATGTTGGAAAAGGGTAGTTCTTAATTTGTGGCCCATTTGTGCTCTAAGGCAACACAGATCTAGCAGAGAGGAAAATCAGTGAGGCTGGAATTTAAAACAAAAGCTTTTGGTTCAGATGGTAAGGAGTCACTCAAGAACAGCAGAATCAGTATATCCAGAAGGCAGTGCTAGAGTCTGCCTCATGAACTAGGGGGTTTCTTCTTGACATCCAAGTCCTTTAGCCAGGTGTGGTATATTGTAATTCTGAGCCAGATACATTTCAACCACATTGCCAAAAGTACATCCCAGCAGGACCTGGAGCAAGGTTATCTGCTAGGAGGGCACGAAGCATGGCTAGGAACTGGTTTTCAAGGAAGGGCACCACTGCAAACCACCTTAACCCAATGCCTGTAGCTCAGAGGCGATTCTCTATAATCACTTTTGAGTTCATAAACTTCTTTCTTTCCCAAATCATGGAAACCTCTAATATTCTCAACTTAATTGCACGTATCTTTTTGTTCTATATCTTTCTACTTATACCAAGATTATACCATCTCCCCCTGACAAAAAAGGCAGGTTAAGACAGTGTATGCCTGTGTTGTAAGTTTAAAATTTTAAGGGAAATTTAGTACAAGGGTAAGGAAATTTGTCTGGATATTTTCCAAACTTGACAGTTATTTTCTATATCAGAGGGATTTCATCATTTTGAACACACTATCTTTTTTTTCCTTTAAATTTTTTATTGTTATGTTAATCACCATACATTACATCATTAGTTTTTGATGTAGTGTTCCATGATTCATTGTTTGTGCATAACATCCAGTGCTCCTTGCAGAACATGCCCTCTTTAATACCCATCACCAGGCTGACCCATCCCCCCACACCCCTCCCCTCTAGAACCCTCAGTTTGTTTTTCAGAGTGCATCATCTCTCATGGTTCGTCTCCCCCTCCGATTTACGCCCCTTCATTCTTCCCCTCCAGCTATCTTCTTTTTCTTAACATATATTGCATTATTTGTTTCAGAGGTACAGCTCTGTGATTCAACAATCTTGCACAATTCACAGCACTCACCATAGCACACACCCTCTCCAATGTCTATCACCCAGCCACCCCATCCCTCCCACCCACCCCCACTCCAGCAACCCTCAGTTTGTTTCCTGAGATTAAGAATTCCTCATATCAGTGAGGTCATATGATACATGTCTTTCTCTGATTGACTTATTTTGCTCAGCATAACACCCTCCAGTTCCATCCACGTCGTTGCAAATGACAAGATCTCATTCCTTTTGATGGCTGCATAATATTCCAGTGTGTGTGTGTGTGTGTGTGTGTGTGTGTGTGTGTGTATGTATATATACGACCTCTTCTTTATCCATTCATCTGTCATTGGACATCTTGGCTCTTTCCACAGTTTGGCTATTGTGGACATTGCTGCTATAAACATTGGGGTGCCCGTACCCCTTCAGATCCCTATATTTGTATCTTTGTGGTAAATACCCAGTAGTGCAATTGCTGGATCGCATGGTAGCTCTATTTTCAACTGTTTGAGGAACCTCCATACTGTTTTCCAGAGTGGCTGCACCAGCTTGCATTCCCACCAACACTGTAGGAGGGTTCCCCTTTCTCCGCATCCCCGCCAACATCTGTCGTTCCCTGACTTGTTAAGTTTAGCCATTCTGACTGGTGTGAGGTGGTATCTCATTGAGGTTTGGATTTGGATTTCCCTGATGCCGAGCGACGTTGAGCATTTTTTCATGTGTCTGTTGGCCATTTGGATGTCTTCTTTGGAGAAATGTCTGTTCATGTCTTCTGCCCATTTCTTGATTGGTTGATTTGTTCTTTGGGTGTTGAGTTGGATAAGTTCTTTATAGATTTTGGATACTAGCCCTTTATCTGATATGTCATTTGCAAATATTTTCTCCCATTCTGTCGGTTGTCTTTTGGTTTTGTTGACTGTTTCTTTTGCTTTGAACACATTATCTTAATAAATCTGCTCACTCGTGATGGTATCATGGAAGCCATAACTAATAAACTAATAGTATGTCAGTACACTAATAATGCCAACATAATAATAGACTATATCTAGGACACGTAAGAAACAATGACTGTCCCTGTAAAGGGAAATGGGGACCAAGAGTCGTCAGTAGGCAAAGAAAATTCTTTTGCTGTGTACACTTTTGAATTTATCATGTGCACGTACTATTTAAAAATAAACATAATTTTTACATAAAATATTAGTTGCTTCCACATAGACTGTCTCTGAAAGATACACAAGATACTGCCAACAGTAGTTGCTTTCAGAAAAGTGAAGTGAGTGACTGGGGGACAGGGGTGAAAGGTAGACCTCACTCCATGCCTTTTTTACACCTTTTGAACTGGTGACATGTGAATATATTAAACTCTTCAATAAGTAACTTTTTCAAAGTAGCATGTAATGTCCTAAGAAATTCTCTTTATTTTTTAATTATAGCTTACTTGTATTTCAAACTGATCCCATAAACCTAACACAAGAAGCAAAGGTTCAAGGCAGAAATCATGAAGACACATAAAATTATTTCCCCACACCATTTTCCAACAAAATTTAAAACTGCATAGGGAGGAAAAATACTTTGTAATGTAATCTATAAAATCTGTGTTAACAGCTATGAACTGGGAAGAGATGTTTTAAAACTTTTAAGTCAGGACTTTTCATCCTCTTTCTCAGACACCATTTTAGCTTTGGGATATAGTAAAAAATGTTTTTGAAGAGATTTAATATTCTATATTACTAAGGAAGAAAACATTACTTGCTATCAATTATGTAAAGCAAAGATATTCACTTGTCTATGACTAAATATAAAATATCCTCAAAAGCTTTCAGTATGACTTTATTAACCCAAATTACAATGGGATTTGGTATTTAGATAATTCTACTGTAATTCCTCCCAAACCAATAAAAATAATGAAATTTAAGTTAGAAAAGGTTTACAGGATAATTTAATTCAGTCCCTCATTTCCAGATATAGCAATCCCAGAAAGTTTAAACTCAAACTCACAACCAATATATGGGAAAAAAACATAATTAGATCCCAGATGTTCTGCTTCTGCAACCAGTATGCTTTCAAGTCATGCCACTAAGAGGATGTAAACTGAAAATATTCTTCAAATTTCTTTCTTGGGTCTATGTTTGTTAGTTTGTTTTTTAAGATTTATTTGAGAGAGCGCGTGCAGGGGAGGAGAGGCAGAGGGAGAGAGCAGACCTGAAGCAGACTCCCCACTGAGCAATGAGCCAGACCCAAGGCCCTGTCTCAGGACCCTGAGATCATGACCTGAGCCGAAATCAAGAGTCGGACAGTTAACCAAAGAAATCAAGAGTTGGACACAACCCACTGAGCCACCCAGGTGCCCCAGTTCTATGGTTCAAATAAGTTATTTGTGATAGTGATCAGAAAAGCTACTTAATAAAGGAAAACAAGGAATAAGTCTTTAAAAGTATTTTAATTAATATAATCTCTTGAGATCAATAACATATTGTAAGTTTTCTGGGGTAAGAGTGTATTCCTAAATAAGGCACTGCTGGCAAAAGGGTAAAGAGTCATTTCATTTTAAAATAAATGCCAAAAAATCAACTTTACAAAATAACTTTATCACTGCAAATCATTTTTAATTAGAAATACAGACAACAAAATTTAAAAAAATAGAAAAACAGACAACATACAAGCATCAAATTGTATTCTTATTCACCAACATGAGCACACCTCCAAACAAACTAATACAAGGGCAGATACATAAATATATACAAATAAAGGAACATACCCAAATAACAAGCTACAGATTCACCTGCCATTTCCTGAGACCAAAATCTTCACATAAATATGCTGGCAAATACAGCAAAATATCAATATAAAGGAAAGCATATATACATATATGCATAAATACCAGAATATAAAGTGACATGTAGATATATAACATACGTGCTTATATACATATACATAAACACCTAGTTCAGTTGGAAATAACACAGACAGAAAACAAATGGTGATCTACAAAACAAGCAGTAATACTGTAACCTTTTCACTACTGGTGAAAACTCAACAGTCACAGTAAATTTGAGTTTAATATAATGCTCACACTTTAAATGATGGAAACAGGAAAAGATGCCAGACCCTAACGCCACTCCTGCTGACACTGAGTTCCTCATTAAGTTGAAAATGTAATAGCATACAAAGGTTGGTGATCTCATTCTAACTAGAATAAAGATTATGTGCTAAACGAGATCACTAAGAGTGAACAGAGAAATATTCTGTAAAGTGAGCTAAATTCTTTTTACTTTAAAGGCCCTGCTAGAGATTTGCTGCTGCTCTAATTCACGACTTGGAGAGGCAAAACTAAAAAAGCTGTTGCTGGGTTCAGGTGCTCTGGGAGAACCCACAAAAAACGGTCTGAAGTGAAGATCTCCATCTCCACCACCCCGATTTCGAACTGGTGTACTGTCCAAAGGAAACTTGGAGTTGTTCCCTAGGAAAAAAAAAGGGGGGGGGGGGAAACTTAAGCATCTATTTCCTTACAGATCTTTAGGAACAAAAACACAAAATTATTTAATAAATATTTTAACAGAACTCAACTCCTATGAGACAGTAAAATATAAACCTAACGTTGGATAAAGAAAAGGGCTATGATGGCTCCCACTCCCTCCTACGACCACAGTACATACCATACCTTCTGCTGTGACGCAGTTTCCAATAGCCATGACCTCATTGCCAAAAGTAATTTGACACAATGAAATATGCTTTTAGTAAAGCTAGAACTTACAATTCATAATTTTATTCATTATCCAGGTAATCTACTTCAAAGGAATATTGTGTGTGTATAAAACCTTTTATCCCAGGTTCTTTAAGAATAATTTTTCTTTTAAAGATTGCCATAAACACTCTAGAAAATATATGACAACTATGAAAAATTGGCATATACTCATGATCCAAGACCAATTAGAATAACCTTAAGAAAAATCAGACAATAAATCTGATTAAATAAGCATTTAACAACTTCCACCGAGCCATTCTTTGGCTTCTACAAGTTTTAAAGGGAACATGTAACTAAAGGAGAATGCAGACTATACCTGCTTCAAGCCAACAACTGTAGCAAGAGGTGAAAGTAAAAAGGTAAGTGTACATAAAAAGTGGAACAGGAAAGAACTAGTGAATATGAAAGAAATCAAAATAAATGTGGATCGTAACAAGGAAAAAATATCTACAATGTTAATATACAATAACACTTTGATTGACTAAATTATAATTATGACTAACTGAAAGTTAAGCAAAAACTTGTTTTTGTTTCAATTCTTCTATCTGATACACCTCATTACTTCCTGCCCTTTCTAGGACATCTCCTCCCCCACTAAATCTTTTCCCTCAGCCTATAATTCAAAAAAATATATATTTAGGAAAATCAAGCACAAGAAACCTCACTTTTTTATATGCAAAAAATAATTTTTATTAATAGCATAGCAAAAATCTATTGGATTCTGTTATATTAAGAGTAGTATAAAGAGGGGAACTCAGGAAGAGATATGAGATTCATTGCATTTGCCAAAGCACCTAGAGAGCAAAAAAGAACTGGTAGCTTCCTAGATTATGCACTTCCAGAAGGCAGGAATCTTATCTGGATAATCCTTATATTCTCATTGCCTAGGATTATGTCTAGCAGCCTAGAACATGAAATATGTTTGATAAATATTTGATAAATGAACAAAAGTGAACCAACCAAACAACCAACAATAACTTAAGAACTGTACAATCAGTATTGCCATGTGAAAGAAACTGAACATGGCCTTCTTGAGGAAGGAGATGGTTGTGTGGGCTCTGAAGATAGTTTTGTGACCTTGACCAATTTACTTACTTTCTGTGCCTTAGTTTTCTCATCTGTAAAATAAGGATAATAATAACTACATCATAAAGTTTTGAAAAATAACAGGAATACATGTAAAATTCTAACAGTGCCTAGCACTTAGTAAGGAATCAACAAATGGCTGCTAATACTATTATTACTACCCCAAGGAAGTAGCTTTTCACTTAAAGTACCAATTTGCAAACTTTTATTTTGGAAAGATTTATTCTCTGTTTACATTGAAGATGTAACTTAACCACAAGCAAATAAAATAGATAAAAGCAAAGATGTACATTTGAGAAATGGATGAAGAATCTGGAGCCTACACCACTCTAGGCCTTTGGAGTCCCCACTGACTTCCTGGAACTGTGCAGAACACAATGTGAAAGATTTAAAGAACAGTTTTTGGATATTACATGTCCCTTCTTACCTAATGGAAAGCCAAAAACACCAGACTGTGCAATCATGGATGGTTCAAGGGTACTTTCTTGGTTAGCAATAGTGATGTTTCGCAGCCTAAGGCTATCATAGAGGCCTTGGAGCTTTTGATACTGACGATTTCGTTCCATAAGTTTCTCAGAGATGTCACTGAACTTTTTCTTATATTCTTCTAGCACTTTCTTCATGGAGGTGACCTCCCCCTTCATAGAGGTCAATTCTACATCCTTACTCTGTATTTGCTGAGTATATATCTTCTCCATCTGTTTCAGATGGCCCTCAGCCTTGCTGAAATTATATTCTTGATAGAGACGCTCCTGATGTACCTGTCCCCCAAAAAAGATTTTTAAGTTATATATTGTAAAACTTTAAATGCAAAAGAAAAAGAAAGACTTACACTGGGATGTTATTAATTGAACATTTAGAACCAGGTTAAGCAAACTAGATGTACAATAGGATGGTTATTATAGAAAATAATACACTGTGTCAGTAACTGCATAGGAAAAAATTCTGGAGGAACACTTTCAAACTGATACCATTATACTAACAAAAGAAGTATTTGTCTAACCTTAACAAGTGACATGGAGTCTTAAGGTTTTTAAGAAATAATTTCATATTTCAAGTAATCCACACTGTGGAGAACAGATTGTAAGATAGTCTCCAATTATCCCTGCCTCCTTAGATCTTAGATCCTCCCCTTGAATGTGGACAGAAACTGTGACTAGAATACAGGATGCTGCTTCATGAGTACATTACATAAGACTATAAAGTCTGCCTTAGTAGCACTTGCTGGCTTTGTAGAAGCAAGTAGCCATGTTGCAAAGGGCAACAAGGCAAGTAACTGAGAGCAGCTTTGGGGCAATAGCCAGCAGAATACTGAGGTCACATTGAATCTAAACATAGACTGTACAACCTGCACCGAAATTAACTCAATATGAATCACAGACCTAAATGTAAACATGAAACTATAAGATTCCTGTAAGATAACAGAGGAGCAAATCTAAACGATCTCTGGTTTGATGGTGACTTTTTAGATGCAACACCAGCAAGCACAATCTACAAAAGAAAGAATTGATAAGCCAGACTTCATTAAAATTAAAAATTTCTGCTCTGCAAAAGACAATGTCAAGAGAATGAAAAGACAAGCCATAGACTGAGAGAAAATATTTGTGGGCCGCCTGGGTGGCTCAGTCGTTAAGCGACTGCCTTCGGTTCGGGTCATGGTCCCAGGGTCCTGGGATCAAGCCCCACATCAGGCTCCTTGCTCATGCTCCTTGCTCAGAGGGAAGCCTGCTTCTCCCTCTCCTACTCCTCCTGCTTGTGTTCCCTCTCTCGCTGTGTCTCTCTCTGTCAAATAAATAAAATCTTTAAAAAAAAATCTGTAAAAGACGTATCTCATAAAAGACTGTTATCCAAAACATACAAAGAACTCTTAGAACTCAACAATAAAAAAAGGCCAATTTAAAAATCATACTAATAAAAGAACTGAAAAAAAGAGAAAATTTCTTGTAACATCTGACTTAAATACATAGAGAATTCTTAACAAATCAGTAAGAAAAAAAACCTACAGCAATTGAAATAAGCAAATTGAAACAGGCAATTCATAAAAGAAAAATACATGAAAAAAATACAAGAAAATGTTTTCATCTAAAAGTCATCCAAGAAAGGCACATTTAAAGAATAATGAGATTCTCGGAGGGGGAGATGAACCATGAGAGACTATGTACTCTGAAAAACAAACTAAGGGTTCTAGAGGGGACCGGGGTGGGGGGATGGGTTAGCCTCGTGATGGGTATTAAAGAGGGCACGTTCTGCATGGAGCACTGGGTGTTATACGCAAACAATGAATCATGGAACACTACATCAAAAACTAATGATGTAATGTATGATGATTAACATAACATAATTAAAAAAAAGAATAATGAGATTCTACTTTACTCATATCTAATTGGTGAGTAGAAAGTATGGAGAATCAAGCACTTTCATACACTTAAGGGAACACAAAATAATAGGCCCCAGGCCTAACTGGAGGGCAATTTTAAAATACTGTAATTTTGGGGGCACCTGGCTGGCTCAAAGCATGCAATTCTTGATTTTGGGGTTGTGAGTTCAAGCCCCACATTGGGTATAGAGATTACATAAAATGAAATCTTTAAAAAATAAATAAAAAATAAAATACTGCAACTTTTATTTATTTATTTATTTATTTATTTATTTATTTATTGAGAGAGAGAGAGAAGAGCACACAGGGGAGGGGCAGAGGGAGAGGGAGAGAATCTTAAGCAGGCTCCACACTCAGCTTGGAGCCGGACTTGGGGCCTCGATCTCACAATCCTGAGACCATGACCTGAGCTGAAGTCAAGAGTCGGATGCTTAACTGACTGAGCCACCAGGCATCCCAAAATACTGCAATTTTTACAACTTTGAAATATATTTATCCATTTTCAGGAATTTAATCTTAGCAACTTTTTTTATAGCTTGAAAATAAATTATGATACAATTATTAAAATTATGATTATGGAGTAGCTAATTGAAAAATACATAATAAAATATTCATAAGCATAATGTCAGCTTTAACTGATATTACTCTTACTTTCAGACAAAATATATATTTATACACAGAAAAAGTCCAGTAATACCAAAATAAAAATATCAACAATGATCTCTAAGTTATGGAATTATAGTTCATTTTTTATTTTCTTTCTTTTGGATTTCCAACAATAAACCTATTTCTTTAAAAACAACAAAAAAAAACATTTATTGGGATGCCTAGGTGGCTCAGTCAGTTGAGCGTCCGCCTTTGGCTCAGGTCATGATCCTATGGTCCTAGGATCCAATCCCAAATTGGGCCCCTCTGCCCCTCCTCACTGCTTGTGCGCTCTCTCTCTCTCACACACTCTCTCTCATGCTCTCTCAAATAATTAAATAAATAAATAAATCTTTTAAAAAATTATTAAAAAGAATGTTTTCTATATATTCATAAAAAATGAGGGACGCTTGTGTGGCTCAGTCGGTCAAGCGTCTGCCTTCATCTCAGGTCATGATCCCAGGGTCCTGGGATCGAGTCCTGCATTGGGCTCCTTACTCAGCAGGGAGCCTGCTTCTCCCTCTGCCTGCCACTCCCCCTGCTTGTGCACTCTCTCTCTCTCTCTCTCTCTGACAAATAAAAATAAAATCTTGAAAAAAAATGAATATAAACACAATGAAGGAAAAAGATTAGAAGCTTCCACATATGCCTCAAATCATACTCTCCAGAAAAACTAGCCTAAGCACTAACCTGATACGTCCAGAAGGCCAGTGCACGAGAGCTAATGTCCAACACAATCTCTGGTCGAAGTCCTGCCAATACCATGGCTTTATATTCCTCTGATGGACTGAGTTCTGTGCGGACAATGTCTAGCTTTCCAGAAAGGGTACTATTGCAGGCAGGGCAGATAGCTGGTGAACGACTAAACTCACCACTGCCATGCTGATCACAGAAGATGTGAGAGCAGGCAGTGACCCACGCATAACCAGAGAGTTTGAGGCGACATTTGCGATAGTTACAAAGCAGCATGTCTTCACACAAAGACATAACACAGAGTGAAGTCTCCAGATGCTGAAAAGAATCCTAATAAGGGGTAAATGAAAAGGTCAAATAAGTCATACTTCAATGAAAATGAAATGGAGCATGTTTTCATTTTATTATGATAAAATAATATATTTTATTGTTTGTATTTATTATAATCAACATATTATAGATTTCAGTCACTCAACAATATTAACTGTGCTCGCTTGTGTAAACCCCTAAAAAGCCCATGAAAAAAATTTTTAGAGAAAAAATTAAAGACACAAGTGGTCCAAATCTTACTAAAGCCAAAAATAATATGTACATGGAAAATAAAGTTTAGGAACATTTACAAAGTACAAATAAAAATTAATTAGTGCCTTTTGCCATTCCTCAATACCTAAACAAAAAAGCCAAATTTACTACCATCCATAGTTTGCTAGAATATTTTAGTACCACTTCTCACACGTGGCAGATATAAGTCCAGGCACCAATTTCAGCCATTCTTTAGTGAAAAGTGTTTTATAAGTTACTTTTTAGGTTTTTCATATCCTTTACCTGTGTTGCCTTACCTAAAAAACAGTAGTAATCTGATTGTATTAAATGGAAAATAATTTAATTCATCAAAGCAAATGACCATTATGAAACCTGAAAATCTGTACAAAAGCTGATTTATTTTATCATCAAATAATTCACCATTAATATAAATACTATTGAATGCTATACTGTCAGTAAAAGTTTGTAAAACTAAATAAATACTTTTAAGTAAATAAATACTCTGAAGTTACTTTTCAATATAGTGTCCACTCTCACTACTTTTACTAACCCAAACTGGACAGCAATATTCTGGATATACCAAAATCATATATTGTATGAAATAACTGTGACACACCAATTATACACCAAGGAAAATATTCATATTTAACACACTTATTAACCAACAAATTCTGTCAAGAATGTTGCCTTGATTAAAAAAAAAAATGTTCGGGCGCCTGGGTGGCTCAGTCGTTGAGCGTCTGCCTTCGGCTCAGGTCATGATCCCGGGGTCCTGGGATCGAGCCCCACATCGGGCTCCCTGCCCCGCGGGAAGCCTGCTTCTCCCGCTCCCGCTCCCCCTGCTTGTGTTCCCTCTCTCGCTGTGTCTCTCTGTCAAATAAATAAATTTAAAAAAAAAAATGTTGCCTTGGTCACAGGGGTCCAGGAGGACGCTCTGACATCTTTACCCCAAAGTACCCACTGAGTTAGTCTCCAAGGGTAAATGGCACTTTGCAGCAGGAGTCATAAGGCCTATTTTACCTCCAGCAGGATAATAGGCATAGGAGAAGCAGAAGAGCTGGGAAGTTTTAAAGCTGAGAACCTTCTTAGGCAGAGCGGGAGGTGCAGCTAATTCCAAATTTTCCACGACTGGGGGTAAAGAGCCAATTCGGTGAATTGTCCCAAGTTACCGAGGGCCAAGTTTTTGGGAATTAGACTCACTCTGGAGTTCTTGGCCTGCTTTCTGCACTCTACAGAGAAAATGACAATAATAATACAAATAAAATAACTAACCTGAGGCGCCCAGAAAAAGCGCGGGAAAACGCCGATGCCTCCACAACTCTAGACTACGCTAGCAAGGATTCGCAGTGCCTCTCCAGTAAGACACAGAACGCATGCGCAGGGTGGCCCTGGAGCCTGCCGGGTGGTGGGCACAGGGCTTCCGGCCGCTCAGGATCCTGGGACCTGTCAGGCTGTGGCACCTGAACTCAGGCGCATATCCCCACGCACGCGCGTCTCAGGCGCTGTGAGGGCGTGAATCCCCCTGAGCATGGTCCAGGTTTCCCACTTGGGAGCCCCACAGATACTGTCATGGAGTGCCGTTTACTGCCCTCAATTGGCACAAAAGTAACATCCTAGGCTATCCTGGGTATAACATTCGAGGTCAGAGTCTCCTGAGTAAGAACAGGGCGGAGAGTGGGACAGTTGAGAAGCTAACAGGGCCGGCTTGTGCCCCTACCTGAGTACACGCAGGTGTTGTGTTTGTCCTGGGAACTCTTGGGGAGGACCGGCTGGGCAGCACAGACTTGCTAAATAGTTTCAGGAAAAAGTTCCAGAAATTTGAGATACCTGTAATTGGATAGCTACCACCTCGATGTTGAGGTAGATTCTGCCATTTTATTTTTCTAATCCATTTTGATAAAGACATCTTTCTAGCTTTTACACATCCTCTATATACACCTAAAATGGAACTTTTTCTTGGTTTAGAATCTGTGTTACGAACATTCATTACAACGCCTGTAATGAAGCGAGAGGATCGATCGGGTGTCAGCTTTTTTGAGGTGCTCTGCCTGTGTGTTCTCCTGGACCTACTTGTAATTGTTTAAATGTTTGTGCCTGTTTTACCCTAATGCTCTTACCTGTCACTTTCTTTTCTGTTCTTTGTAAACTGTGATTTTCTGCTCAATCTAGAGGAGTCTGTTAGAATCATATTAGAAACTAAGCTGAGGAGGGCTTGAGGGGTCCTTGGAATACAAGCCTTAATGCTGTCTTTTGTGGCCGGCCACCTGTCCACGTGTGACCCCATTGTGAATTAGTAACAGATACAATCCAATGAATCAGCAACACAATGGACACCAAGGCCCCGCAAACCCCTTTCTGGGTAGTGAATCTCTAATACTAACCCATTCTTCTTCAAACAAAAACCTATCCTAACTAAACAACTTTCTGCTAGTTTTCTATCTACTTGCAGCTTGTTCACAGTAATTAGAAAGGGTCTCTTGACCTTTGTATAAATTTCCTAAAATGTCTTTAGAGTTTAGAGTGGTAACTTAATTCCAGTGGTACAAATTGGATTCAAACAAAGTTGGGGGTTCATGTGTAAACCCCTAACATCTATTTTGGCTATCTGAGCCTTTTGTGCATTTTCTGAATTTAACAATGGCAAATGTAGTACAACAAAGGAGTACAATCTCAAAGTTAGAAAACACAAAGCATTCAAATTCAGCCAGTACCTAACTTTGTGATCTAACTTAAACCTTTGTACTGCAATATGATCTCTTCCTGCTTCATCATTAAGACCACTGATTCCCCAAACCTTAGTGTTCCCCACCTGATTTTCCCACCAAATCAGTTTCAAATTTCCAACCCATTTGGCTAAAAGCCCGTAGGAGTAACATATATACATATATATGTATGTATATGTATGTATACTTTTTTTTTTTTTTTTGCCAACACGTTTTGCCAGATAGAATAAAAGGGAGCAGGGTGCTACAAAGTCTTAATATCCCATTAATCTGGAACACCAGGAACTGAACTAACCTGCTTCTCAGTGGCACTGTGTCCTCTCCTGTTATGGCATAAACAAACCCTTCACTGGCTCTTTTCTAGAGTGCTCCTGGGGATGAGATTACTGAAAACAATCAAGGCTGAGATACAAAGATCCATCCACCAAAAAGAACTTTTTTTTTTAATTTTGGTTTTTATTATTAAATATCAAGCATACAAAAAATGTGTGAAGAATGACCATCACTCAGCTTTAATAAACTGAAATCCTTCTCACATATGATATTTTTTTAATGAAGTAACACATTACAAATACAGCTGAAGCCTCCTGATTTTCCTCCTACCTCTCCAGAGGGAAACAAGCCAGATTTTGGTATTTATCACTCTCATGCATGCTTTTATATTTTTAGTATATATGTATACCTTAATCTTGTTTTGCATGTCCTAAAACTACTAAACCTTATCACATAGCACCTATCAATACACCATTTCATTAACCTATTTTTGAGATGTAGTCAATACACCTATCTTGCACTAATTCACTTTAACAGCCAAATACTACAAATACACCACAATTTATCCATTCTTCTAAAGGACATTTCTTCCAGGTTTTTATAATTAAAATCAATACTGCAATAAACTTTCTGTACATGTCTCCTTGAGTACACATGACAAGAATTCCTATAAAATATAATACCTAGAGACTGGGTTCATGCATAAGCAACTTCAAATAAATTTCACTGCCACCAGCAAAGATGAGATCACATTGCTTTACACTCAGCAACATATGCAAGTGTCAATTTTTTGTTTTGTTTTGTTTTCATTTTTGCCCTTATGATGGCAGTGAAATGGTATCTGAATGTTGTTTTAATGTGCAATTCTTTGATTACTAGTAAGATTCAGCTTCTTTTCAGGTGAATGACTACTCAGGGATTCTCATCAGTGAATTAACTCTTTCAGATCCTTTGATCATTTTCTAGATTTATATGGAGTCTTTTGTTGGTTACATGGCATGCAAACCTAAGTTTGAATTGTAGTGTACACAAATTTATCAATCTTTCCTTTTTGTGTTTATGTCTATTCCAATGTCATCATATTCCTTGTTTTTCTATAGGTTTAAGGTTTTGCTTTTCATTTATAGATCTTTAATCCATTCTTCCTAATGTAAGGGTCTGAATAAAATCTGACTGTACAATTTGTGCTTACACGCCACTTATACCATTTAATTACAGGTTATTTTCACCTTTCAAAAATGATTTTTTTAATCATAAAATTTAATATTGATCTTATGTAGATATTCTAAGTACCTATCAGTTATATTATTTATATACCACATTTCTCTAAGAATTTCAAGATAGCAATTTCTCCTATTATCATTGAATCTTAGAATGTTAGCATGATCTAGGGACGCCTGGGTGGCTCAGTCATTAAGCATCTGCCTTCGGCTCAGGTCATGATCCCAGGGTCCTGGGATTGAGCCCCACATCAGGCTCCAAGCTCGATGGGAAGCCTGCTTCTCCCTCTCCCACTCCCCCTGCTTGTGTTCCCTCTCTCACTGTCTCTCTCTCGCTCTCTGTCAAATAAATAAATAAATAAAATCTTTAAATAAATACATGTCTTGCTGAAATGCCATTAAAATAGTTGCCATTTTCCAGGGACTTAAAAGAAAATTTAATGGAGGTTTCAATTCACTTCACATATTTTTGAGTATCTATTCTGGGCCAGGCATTACAGATAAGGAAGTTTTCCTGCTTTCACGGAGTTTACAATCTAGCAAAGAATCTAAGAATGATAAAAGCAAATATTTTACTCCTTCCTTTGGTGCCTCTTACATTTTTGCAAGTTGATTCTATAAACCATTTCTGGTGCGAAAAGTCAGCTTCCATCTTTAATTTGAAGAATCATCTACCTTCATGCTGGAAAGAAAAAGACATTTTTTAATACTACCTTGAAATGTATAAACAGCTACTCAGTAGAAAACTGATCAGTAGAAACTCATCAGTAGAAAACTGATTAAACCACTTGAAATTTAATGACTTCAGAGTATAATGTTTCAGTAACTCTCAGAATCAGTTTACTAGACCTCTTTCTTTCATAGTCCTAGGTCAGTGCTATTCAAATACTTTTGTAGTCAAAGGGGTTTCTAAAAACTATATCCTCATGTTTTCATATTAGTTTTATTTTCAGTCACAGGTAATTCTTATCTAGATTCACCACCTGCTTTGTAATTGTATGACTCCGCAAAAATCAGAAGACACTAACGGATGGCCAACCCATCCAAATGGTGCCCTGAGTGAAGACAAGTCAGCTTTGATATATGATGGACTAAAATCCCACTACCTAAGGCTCCAAGCAGTGAGAGGAACAGCCATCAAAATTTATCTCCAACCATTTTAATAAATGCTTTAAGGAACATTTATAAAAATAAAGCTATCAAGTCACTCTTTTTTTTCTAAGATTTTATTTATTTGAGAGAGAAAGAATGAGAGAGAGAGAGCATGGGGGGGGAGGGTCAGAGGGAGAAGCAGACTCCCCACTGAGCAGGGAGCTCGACATGGGTCTCAATCCCATCATGACCTGAGCCGAAGGCAGACGCTTAATGACTGAGCCACCCAGGCGCCCTCAAGTCACTCTTAATAGGAATCACTACATCTAAATTTTTAAGTCAACTAAGAGCTAGAAGAACCAGCTAGAGAGACAAAACCAGCTAGAGAGACAAAATGAGGAATAAGATGATAAATAAATTGATGCCAAAACAAGATCAATCAACTAAAGAAAAAGTTACTGGAAGAGTTATATAGAGATACACAATATAGTCCTTATCACCATAGTTTGCCTAATTCTAAAACTAAATTAGGCTTTGTGTGCTGGAGATAAACATAATGAGGTATAGGCCAATTGGCATAAAGATGCATATAAGCAAAAACTGCACAGGGACTTTGATGATAAAACAGCTTACATCTTTTGAGCGATTACCATATGCTTAAACAATGTTCTAAGCCCATGCACTTATTATCTAATCTTCAAAGTCAAATCCTATTCTTTTGAATCCAGTACTATTATTCTCATCTTCTAAGATATAAGGACACTCAGACACTGAGCTGTTAAGAAACTTGCTAAGGTTACATAGCTGATTAAGTGACAAAGGATGGGTTTGAACCCAGTCTGACTCCAGAATCCATGTATAACTATTATACTAAGCAACCTCTCAACATCTTTAATTGCCTTTTTTAAAAAATAAAAATTTTTGTAGCAACTTAGCAGCTGGTCATGAAACCATAAAGCTGAATTTTCAAAGATTCATATGCATATCAAAGCTTCTCAATTTTAACATAAGCCTTACCATAAAAGAAAAATGTTGTCATCATCTATTGTATATCCAGGACCTATAGCACCCAGGAATTCCAGGCTGGGAAAGAATGAGACTCAGATCTAGTTTTGGTCTCCTGAAACTTCATTTCTGCAAAAGACATAGCCGAAACTAAAAACTATTTCAAATGCTGATGTTACTTTGAATTATTTGCATTTCCTGTATTTCTCCCTCATATGTACCCCATTCTCTGCTGAAACGTGCAAGTACAGGTAAAGAATAGAAGCCTGTTCCGTGTAGGTTCAATTATACAATACATGAATATAATAAAGTCAGAAAATAAAGGTTAACGAGATCATACTTAGAATGCGATTCTAGAGACAATAATCCCTGGTATTTGAGAATATCCTGTCAGATAATTTCTGAAGTAAACATAAGTATATGAAAATGTTTAAGCATAAAAAGGATTGCACATACTGCTCTATAACTTGTTTTTTGTTTGTTTGTTTGTTTAAAGATTTTATTTATTTATTTGACAGAGAGACACAGCGAGAGAGGGAACACAAGCAGGGGGAGTGGGAGAGGGAGAAGCAGGCTTCCCGCCGAGCAGGGAGCCCGATGTGGGACTCGATCCCAGAATCCTGGGATCACGACCTGAGCTGAAGGCAGACGCTTAATGACTGAGCCACCCAGGCGCCCCTATAACTTGTTTTTAATGTATCATAAATACCCTTCCATTTCCAGAAAAGATAAACCTCTATCATAACTTTTAAATGACTATATAGTGTCACATTTTATGATCTTGACAAAATTGACTTAACCAACTCTGGGATTCTCTTAATCTTACATAAAGATAATAAAATAGTGGTAAGTTTAAAACTGCCAAGTAAAGTGGTTGACAGAATTATACCAGTTATCAGTGCTTTTTCTGTAGTGTTTGAATATTTAGATTAAGGATTCCTGACCCTGGTTCTACCTATCTCAAGAAGATACCACGAAGATCAAAGCACAACAAAGTGTTGTAGTGTCCAGATCCATAATTCAAAGATTTAAAAGAACTACCTGGGACTGGAGGCTAGAATCCAGTAAGAATTCCAAGAAGCAGATTTCAACTCCAGGCATTTGCCCTAGCTTTCGTCTGCTCAGAGCATATGTTTAATCAGGGTGATCAGCTGAAACACAGACTTAACATGAATTTCATCATGGCAAACTGAAAATGACTGATGAAGGGCAAACCACCACCGGCTCCTCATCTCTAACCCAAGTGAACCCTCTTAAGGTTAGAACTAAGGCTTTTTTAAACTACCAAATTCCAGCCACAAAGAGCACCGGGCCCCAAAACTTAGTAAGTGATTAAAAATCCAAATGAAGGGGCGCCTGGGTGGCTCAGTCGTTAAGCGTCTGCCTTTGGCTCAGGTCATGATCCCAGAGTCCTAGGATCGAGTCCCACATCGGGCTCCCTGCCCAGTGGGAAGCCTGCTTCTCCCTCTCCCACTCCCCCTGCTTGTGTTCCCTCTCTCGCTATTTCTCTCTCTGTTAAATAAATAAGTAAAATCTTTAAAAAATAAAAATAAAAATCCAAATGAAGTAAAAATAGTTTTCTTTTACACTTACCTCTGGTATCAAATGAATCAGCTTCTATCTAGGAATTAGCTGAACTACATGATCTACCAACTACCTAAGCATCATCTTTCCAGATGTATCATCTCTGGAAAATAAAAAGTAAGTAAATAAAGATTATGATTATATGACTTGAATGCACACCAGCCTACTCCCAAGTCATACTGCATAGCCTCAAGGAAAATTAACCTCAAGGAAAACTTCATTTTTTATATGAACCTCCAGTCAGTAATATAAATTGACTCATTTGGAGAACGTCATGAAATGCCCAAACTCAATATCACATTAGGACAGGTCTTCTTACACAAGCTCAGCTTTTTGTATAAATTTAAAAGTTTGGGGGCGTCTGCCTCCAGCTCAGGTCATGATCCCAGGGTCCTGGGATCGAGCCCCACACTGGGCTCCCTGCTCAGCGGGGAGTTTGCTTCTCCCTCTCCCTGGGTCCCCCTCCCAGCCTCGCACCCCTGCTCATGCTCTCTCTCTCTCTCTCTCAAATGAACAAATAAAATCTTTAAAAATAAATAAATAAATAAATAAATTTAAAAGTTTGGGTAAAACTATACAATGCTGTGAATTGTGCAAGACTGTTGAATCACAGATCTGTACCTCTGAAACAAATAATGCAACATATGTTAAGAAAAAAGAAAAAGAAGAAGATAGCAGGAGGGGAAGAATGAAGGGGAGTAAGTCGGAGGGGGAGACGAACCATGAGAGACGATGGACTCTGAAAAACAAACTGAGGGTTCTAGAGGGGAGGGGGGCGGGGGGGATGGGTTAGCCTGGTGATGGGTATTAAAGAGGGCACGTTCTGCGTGGAGCACTGGGTGTTATGCACAAACAATGAATCATGGAACACTACATCAAAAACTAATGATGTAATGTATGGTGATTAACATAACAATAAAAAATTTAAAAAAAAAACAAAACTATACAGTAAGTCTAACCAAACCCTGACAATAAGAGAACAGGTATGGAAAAGGAAGGAGCCGTGTGCTGGCTGCAACCAGAGCTTGACAGCCATGGGAAAAATTCAGCAATATGGGGAGTAAGTGGCATGGGATAATGCCAACCTCTCCAAGTCCGCAGGGTGTGTAACTGCAGAAAACCCTTGTAACCAGTCATTAAATTCACAAAATCCTTAAAAAAAAAAGGAAAGAGCCAGGAACTCGTAAGATAAATAAGAAGGCTATCTGGGGCCCCTGGCTGGCTCAGTTGGTAGAACATGCAACTCTATGGAAAGGTTTTGAGTTCAAGCCCCACCTTGGGCGTGGAGTCTACTTTAAAAAAAAAAAACGAGAAGGTAATCCAAAATAGTTAACATTTTTTTCAAAGCATGTTTCAATTTCATTTCAGCCAATGCTGACTGTATTTAACCTTTACTCTTGGTAAAAATTTATCACAATAAACTAAGAAAACCTTCCTCTGACATAGCAAAATGGAATTAGCATCATTTGGCGCCCAAGTTGGCCACAAGATGGCAATATAAGAAAAAGCATAATTTCCTCTTCCAACACTTGAGTGTAATCTAACTTTTAGGTGAAAAAGGCTGGACACAAAACTCATCACTGCAGGCAACCTTCAAACTATTCCCTACTCACCAGATTACTAACAAGAAAGTTTCTTATATTGCATTTAATGATAATTGAAAACTTACTAAAAATATTAGTTATATTTTTATCATGTTCCTTTCAATGAAGCAATGTGAAGATTTAAAAATCTATAACCTCAGATAAAATCTAGCTAGAAAGACAAGATTCATGTCCATGGGGAGTACCAAATAAGCAATAGAGCAAGCTATGCTAAGAATAATAATCACTGGTCACAGAAATCTTCATGAAGATAAAAGGTGCAGGTCCTGAATGAGCCTTAAAATTGCACTTAAAATAATACTGTATTGTATAGTTGAAAGCTACCAAGAGAGATCTTAAAAGTTCTCATCACAAGAAAAAAAACTGCAAGGGCACCTGAGTGGCTCAGTCAGGTAAGCGTCTGCCTTCAGCTCAGGTCATGATCTCAGGGTCATGGGATCAAGTCCCATGTAGGGGGGGCCCACTTCTCCCTCTCCTTCTGCCTGCCACTCCTCCTGCCTGTGCCCTCCCTCTCTCTGGGTCAAATAATAAATAAAATCTTAAAAAAAAGAAAAGAAAAAAATTGCATTCTCTAATAGGTAACACCACATTCAGCCATTAAAATTAAATTAAATTAAAAATTAAATTCTTCAACCACACCAATCACATGGTAATTGCTCGGTAGCCACATGTGGCTAATGGCTACCATACTGAACAATACAAAACATGTACAAATGTACAAAAACACAGAAAGTTCTGTTGGACAGCAGCACCTTAAAGGATGGGTATGACTAAAATACACTGACAGGAAGTAGTGGTTACCATTCTTGAAAATTCCTACTATCTATCAAGAACTGTAAAAAACATCCCACTCAAACTTGACAATCCCATATTTACAGGGAAATCTGAGGCTCAGAGAAGTTAAATAAATTTCCCAAGGTCACCTAGCTATTAAGAACTAGGATTTAAATCCAGTTCTGTGGAAACTCCCAATTTTCACCTCGCCACGCCACTTCCTGCATGAAATAGAGGCAGAGCTACAGAAGATGGTTTGCTTCAGCATATAATGAAAATGCTATTGTGGCACAGTAGGTCAGAAGGAAACTGAGGTATTTTAAGTACCTGAGACATATAACCAAAGTGTTATTTTAACTCCTGTCCTATAGTTGAATAATACTCTAATTATGTAAGATGTTTTCAGATGGGCAGCATATTACATTAACCAAGTGAACAGAAACAGGAAGTAAGACTTAAAGTGCAAGGTTTCTACAGCTTTAACAATGTCTACCTCAAAACTCCATGATCCAAGTATTCCCTACAGGAGAATATATATATATATATATATATATATAAAGGTGCAACTTCTCTATTTGAATCATCTCACAAACAACCTAGATTGTAAAAGTTCTGGTCTCTGTATCATTGGCACATAACCTAAAGTTTAGGACATAAATCCTGATGTTAAACACATGATACCTTTGCCAATACATGATGCTCCCTGCAGGACTTGAGCTATGCTTCAGCAAATGTCATTCTACCACGTGAAGGCCATTTCATATTTACTGAGCATTGAGGGAGCTTAAGTACATAATTTGTAAATTCCCCCATGAACTATCAATGACCCACGCATTTTGTTCCCTGTAAGAAATAAATGCTTCTAAGTGTTGGTGCCCATGGCCAAAATGTACATTTTACGTTATGTGAATAGGTGCTTCATGAAGGCCTGATACAAACTACAAATTGATTAATACCAAATCATCTGATGCTTTGTTTTAAGATTACTACTACTGCTCAGTTGTACACTGTTCCATGCCAACTACTCAGTGCCTACTCTGTCTCTAGCATTATAGGTTATAACAGCAACTCAAAGAACCTATCTTTTTTAGATAGAAAAGACACATAGACATGGGACATAGAGAACACTTTAAGGCCTATCTTAGTCCAAGTTCAAGTACTTGCTTTATGGTCCCATCAGCCTTTAACCACTCCTACTGAGAATGTCCAAATCCAAGCCCACTTGATTGTTAGGGCATCTACAGCAGATGTTACAGATGCTTTCACAGTGCCACTTCTGGACTGGCAGCCAGGGGTCTGAAGACCCAGGCCTTCCTTCCTCCATGGATTCCATCTTCAACCTGAAACAAAAGGAAAACAATACAAAACTTCACATAGGAAGTAAATGCCCAACTGTCACTTGGCATGGCTCTCTTTTAGGGATAGCTCTCTAAGACACTGCTACCAGAACAGATTCCAAGTTTTGCTTCCCACTCACTGTCAGCTACTTTAGAAATAGTGATTGTTTTGGGGTGCCTGGGTGGCTCAGACAGTTAAGCATCTGCCTTCAGCTCAGGTCATGATCCCAGGATCCTGGGTTCGAGTCCCACATCAGTCCCCCTGCTGAGCGGGGAGCCTGCCTCTCCCTCTCCCTCTGCCTGCCGCTACCCCTGCTTGTACTCTCTCTCCTGTCAAATAAATTTAAAAATCTTAAAAAAAAGAAATAGTGATTGTTTTTAACCTCTCAGAGCATATAGAAAATAAAAGTGGGGAGTTCAGGAACATAGACCAACCATTCAGCTCATACCAAGAGCCCCAGTCTCATTGCTGGTGTAACAAATGAAAATACAGTACCTAAGGGCTTTGCATCAAAACAGCAGGAAAGAATAACTTGAAATCAGAATACAGAAGGCAGTAAAACTGCTACTCTGGTAACCTGACATTTTATCTATTTCATAATACTTAGTCTATCTCAGAATTTATAAAGCACTTTCTAGATTTACCTCATTTTGCAAGTACTATGTCATCTCCATTCTATAGGTCTGCAAGCAAGGTTTGGAGTCTAAATGGCAGGCAGCTTCGTGGTTAAGATAATGGATTTTGAAGTCAGACAAAACTGGATTTGAATCTTGACTCCCCCACATATTTTCAACTTCTCTAAGCTTCTGATTCCCTTTCTGAAAAATGAAGACAAATATCACCTACCTCTTAGGACCTTTGGGAAGATTAAATGAGATAAAATAAACATAAAATACTTTGCACAGTAGCTGCCATGTACTGAAATACTTAATATGTTGTTTCTATTATTAAGTGTCCAAGCTCACCCAACTACTGAATAGGAATACGGAATCCTGTCTAACAATTTCACTTTTCACAATAATCTTGAAGCTGAGAAAGACATTCAGATCCCTCATAAGGTCCTTCCAAATGCAAGGTACTCCTAATGGAAAACTAGATGATTTTAGCCGTTGTTGTTTTTTTTAAGATTTTATTTATTTCAGAGAGAGAGAGAGAGAGAGTGCATGAGCAGGGAGAGGGGCAGAGGCAGAGGGAAAAGCAGACTCCCTGCTGAGCGGGGAGCCTGATGCGGGACTCGATCCCAGGATACTGGGATCACGACCTCAGCCAAAAGCAGACACTTAACTGACTGAGCCACCCAGGCACCCGATTTTAGCCTTTTTAAGACTTAAAAAAAGATGCCGGGTGGAAGCCGGAGCCGCGCCTCCCGCACGGCCCCTCCCGCCAGCCCGCACCTCAGATGAGAGCAGCGCCTAGACCAGCACCAGCAGCGGCTCCACCAGCTGCTGTCGGCTCACCTGCTGCTGCACCCCGGCAGCCAGGTCTTGTGGCCCAGATGGCAACCGCTGCAGCTGGCGTAGCTGTGGGCTCTGCTGTCGGGCACACGATAGGTCATGCCATCACTGGGGGCTTCGGTGGAGGAGGCAATGCTGAGCCCTCAAGGCCTGACATGACTCACCAGGAGTTTCAGGGAACCCAGCCAGCACACCAGCAGTTTGGCCCATGCCACTCTGAGATGAAACAGTTTCTGGAGTGTGCCCAGAACCAGGGTGACCTGAAGCTTTGTGAAGGTTTCAGCGAGGTACTGAAGTAGTACAGATCTGTAAATGGATTAGCTTAATCAAGAAGTTCAAATTGAAGATATGGAAAATCATCTCTCATGACCAAGTTAATTTAGCATAAAAATATAACTGATGGTGAATATATAAAGTGTAAAACCACCAGTTAAGCTTCTCCTTCATCATTAAATATAGCTTTCTTCAGAACTGGAATGAAAAAGGTTGTTCTTACTGTATAGTTCATTGAGATGGTTTGAATTTGGGGTTGGGCAGATGTTTGTGTGCCTCCTTAAATCACCTTCTGTGATGTTCTCATTTATGAATTAATTAGAATAAAGTGATTTTCTCCAAAACAAAAAAAAGACTTAAAAAAATAGGGGCACCTGGGTGGTTCAGTCATTAAGCGTCTGCCTTTAGCTCAGGTCATGATCCCAGGGTCCTGGGATCAAGCCCCACACCAGGCTCCCTGCTCAGTGGAAAGCCTGCTTCTCCCTCTCCTGCTCACCCTGCTTGTGTTCCCTCTCTCTCTCTCTCTCAAATAAATAAATAAATAAAATCTTAAAAAAGAAAAAAATATATATATATATAGCTTTGATAGGATTCCCAGAAGCTTTTGTTTTGCATGTTTACATCCTAAAAAACATTTCCATTTTCCCCAACTTAATGCTAAAATATGAGTTTACCCACTCAACACCATAATTTCAGAAAGATATCCAACACACATTTTGCTAAGTAAACACTGGAAACATGCCCCCTCTGCCCTTGGTAAATACAAAAACCATGTGGTTTCTCTGGTTCATGCTGCCATTACTTCTCAACATTAAATACAAGTTCACAGCAAAATAAACCATCCCTTAAACTGAAGTGGGCAAAGATATATTCACATAAAAGCCATCAGCGTGGTTTTGCTTTTAATAGAAAATCCTTTATTGCTCAATCAAGACATTTATGGTGTTGGTTGGTTTCTGGTCATCACTGTGCACAAAATAAATATAAGTAACAGGAAGCACTGCATGTTTAGAGTCCTTATAAATATATCAAAAACCACCTGAACTGTCATATGTGACAAGTGAATTATATACATTGTGGGGGCAACAAGAAGACTGTAAACTACCTAAATGTTGACCAATAAAGCTTAAATAAATTATGGTATGCACATACATTAGATTACGGTAAAACCATTATAAAGAACGTGGATGGGGGCGCCTGGGTGGCTCAGTCAGTTAAAGGTCTGCCTTCAGCTACATAACTTCCAGTCAAGATCCCGGAGTTCTGGGATCAAGCCCTGCATCAGGCTCTCCGCTCAGCGGGGAGGCTGCTTCTCCCTCTCTGGCTCCCCTTCCCACTCCCCCTGCTTGTGCTCTCTATCAAATAAATAAAATCTTAAAAAAAAAAAAAAAAAGAATGTGGATATTCTTTATTTATTCATTTGGAAATCCTAAGTGGGAAAAGTTAGATAACTGGTAGAGTATGTAAAGAAGACGGGAGGGTGAAATACATGTATTTGCTTATACTTACATAAAATATCTCAGAAAGGACACACAAGAAACTGTTAATGCTGTGGGGGCCGTGGGGAATTAGGTGGCCTAGACTTCGTGATACACGCTTTGATCCCTTTTTAATTTTGAACCACGTGAATGTATTATTTTCAAAAGATAACATTAACAATAAAACTTGAGAATTATAAGGATTATGATAAGTCGACAACTGTCTATTACCACATTCCATCCACTAGTTTACTTCTTTCACACCTTGGGCCTGTAAGAACAGCGAACACCTACATTATATTCAAACTGATGTAGATCAAGGAGGAAAATAGGAATCCATTTATACTCAAGGTCACTAGGCAAAACTTTTTATAAGAAAAAAGATACCCAAAATAAATGTAGTGTTTACTTCTAGAAGGTATCTAACATTTAATATAATACCTGGCCTTCGTATATTTTGATTTTCAAAAGCGGAGCCTCATAATGGTTCACTCACCCACCCAAGGTCACTGGAGAAGTAAACTGTGGTGCTAGTACTTGCTTTAGGCTTGTCCTGGGCTAAGGCCCAATTTCTTCTTTAGTATATATTAGGCTTTTTAGGGAACCCTCACCACAGTGGCGACATTAAAATTGGGAGCTCCTCTTAGGACTCGGTAAAATCAAGTATCTGGGGTTGCTGCCGAGGCTCACTAAGAAAGCTGGAATGCTCTGAGCAAAGACTAGGGCAAAGACAACATTTGCTACAGTTCCTGCAAACCCAGCAAGGACCTGGGCCCTGCAGACATGAGAAAATTAAAGTGTACTGGTCTGAAACTCCTCCCAAGGTCTACCCTCTTACCCAGGGAGATATAAGTCGAAACAGCATTGGGATAATAACAATACCTTTCCCTCCAAGCAAAATGAATCCAGGCGATTTCCAGGAACACCGGCACTCTATACATGAAGCAGAGTCTATTGTTTCTGGGTCTCGGGGAAGGAAGGCTGACCCAGTGCTGCAGAGACCCATGTGGAAATAAGCCAGGCAGAGCATTTCCCTGCCTACCCCGAGGCGCCACTCAGCCGAAATTAATCACCTTGTGACTCACACACACTCCCCCATGCTTGCTCCAAATAAAGGGCTGCATCAGGATACAGGGTTCAAATGGAAGAGAAATTCAAAACAGTTAGGGAGCAAAATTAAGTGCACACTCACCAGCCTACCACCAAAACGGAGAGAGTAAGTGGAGAGACAGGAAGCGGCTTTAAAGAGTGGCCTCAGAGTCTGATTGGCTAATGAGTTAAAAGCAGATTCCCTCCTCCTTTACCTTAAAAGGTGCCGGAATAAGGCCACCCCCTCCTTCACCTATTTGTCTCTTACGGAAAAGTGATGCTACTTGCCCTATTTTTAGATTGAATTTTTTAAACCAAGTTTCCTTTTGAATTAATGTACTCAACACAAGCAAACATAGGCTAATTCAAGCTGTGTATACACATTCTTTGTTTAGATGGAACTGTAAACTATTTTCATTCCTTTAGGAGAATTTCCTAACCTTTGTGACCTCAAAATGGTTACTTTATGCAAGGTAACAGGTTTCATCATAAACGGTCTAGATCCATTCAAGTTAGAACTTACCTTCAGGGTAATATTCCAGTTAACAGGACTAGTGAATAAAAGATGGGTGTGGTTAAGGGCTCAGACTTTGAAGTAAAATTTAGCTGTATAAACAAACCTTACTAAACTAAACCTTATCTTCTTAGCATTCTTTTTTTTTTTTAAGATTTTATTTATTTGTCAGAGACAGACACAGCAGGAGCTGGATGTGGGGCTCGATCCCAGGACCCTGGGATCACGACCTGAGCTGAAGGCAGACACTCAATGACTGAGCCACCCAGGCACCCCTCTTCTTAGTGTTCTTGGCCAGTTACTAGCACTAGTTCAAACTCCTTTGTCTTTTCTCAATTCTTCACAAATTTACTGTTTCTTTGTCTAAAGGTATAAAAGTTTCCTGCCCTGGTCACTTCTTCCAGTCTTCATTCTCCTGTGAAGGCTCCTATGTAAGTTAAAAATTCAATAAAATGTGTCTGTTTTTCTCCAGTTAATCTGTCAGTTTAATTTTCAGACCCTGACAGAGAGTAGCAAATGAAAATCTCTATTTCAAGATGCTGCACAGGGATATTCTAGGACATTTCACATAAACTGTGATAGTTTGCAAGATACTTCCTAGCTGCATGATCTGGAATAAATTTCTTAAACTCTCTGAGATTCAATTTCCTCCTTTATACCATGGGGGAGAGTAATACCTACCTCTCATATATACGAATGGACAAAAGAGTCTCGTATATAATGACTGGTCATAGTACCTGCTCAATTCATGTTCTTCCATCCTTGCCCATTCCTCATTCTTATACAGAGAGGAGATGAAAAAGTAAATAACTGCTTGCATGAGTTTACTTATACACTTCTATTTGTCTACACATTGTACAATTCTTTCTAGATACAAGTGAATCAATGGAAATTAGCTTTTGCTCCTAAATGTTGTGATTACAGACCTATACTCACTGATAATTTCCTGCTTCCTAACAATCGCAAGGGTACATTGAAGATTTTTTTCTTCTCCAATAAGAGATATGAGTGGATCATTTTGGAACCCCAGAAGATGAGTATAGGGCTTTCTGAAATCATCGTGAAAAAAGTACTTTAGTAAAGGGCTTTGGAATACCAAGATGACATACAAAGGCAGAGAGGTACAGACCCTATGTGTTTTAAGGGGGTTGTAAAGGAAAGCCTGCCCAATCTCTAAACTGGATTCCTGGAGAGGGGAATGAAGAAAGAATCTGGGTCCTGGATCCACTGAGTTGCAGATGCTGAAATCAGCTGACTCTACAGTCCTGCAAGAGAGCATTTAAAAATGTGGAGCCCTGAGTTGCTCTAAGTGGGACATTTTGGTTTTGGGCCACACTAAGCACTAAACAAGTGGGATCATCTGCCTTCAAAGAACCTTACTGACCTATGCAATGATCTACTTGAACAAGATCATCATTCCAGCGCCATAAAATAGTGCGGCCATACCATGTAAGTGAAAAGCAATAAAGTAGAGGACTTACTAGACTCTGTGTTTGGGGATGAATGTGGGAGTCAAGCCCTCCCCCAAGCCCTAAGTATTTTTGGGTAATTTGGGGGAAGTAAGAAGCATGTTGTTCTTAGTAAGGCATTGAGAAACAACAATCTCCCCACCCTCCACACACTCTCTGAATTCATGGAAGAATTTATGTCAGTTACATAACTATAGTTATCAAATGATACAAAGATGATACAGTATCACAGATTTAGCCCATTATCCCAAATTCTTGACATTACCATTATAAACAAACAAAAAAAAAGTAAAAGAAAGCAAACAAATCTCCCCCCAAATCACCCTTTTTCAGAAACCTCCTTTCTCATCCCCCTCTCTAGTCGCCTCCTGCGGCAGCTACTCTGTTCAGTCCCTCTCGTGCACTTAATATTTCTCTTCATCTTTTCTTTCCCCATTTCCATTCTTCCATAGGGCTCATCTCCTTGCATAAAATCCCTGACCTTGAGATCCCTGGGATAAATATTAGGCCCCTCTACCTTAATCACAATCTTTCTTCACCAGGCTTTTCAGCTGGTTCCTTCCTTCTTCTCTGGACCTTTAATTCCTTCCCCTGCCCATCCTACCCCATCAGTTCCCATGCTGACACCTCTTCTCTTTCTGCCCCATTGGTCAGGCTCTGTGGGTCTTCTGAAACTTTGCTACTATTTCGTTTCCCAAAAGTTGAACAAATTTATGATGCCAGAGAAATATGAATATTGCTGGTATATACATGGAAGACATACAAAAAGTATCATAACAATTTCAAGACCAAACAGTAAACTCACGTTTACATTCTGTAAATATGATCATTGAAATTTTTTATTTTAATTATTTATTTGAGAGTTAGAGAGAGAGAGAGCACATGGTTGGGAGGGGCAGAGGGACAGGGAGAGAGAAACTCTAAGCAGACTCCACACTGGGCACAGAGCCCCACGCTGGGCTCAATCCCATGACCCTGAGCTCAATCACTACCTGAGCCAAAACCAAGAGTTGGAGGCTTAACCAACTGCACCACCCAGGTATCACCAATTATTAAAATTTTTTATCCTGGGGCGCCTGGGTGGCTCAGTCATTAAGCGTCTGCCTTCGGCTCAGGTCATGATCCCAGGGTCCTGGGATCGAGCCCCGCATCGGGCTCCCTGCTCCGCGGGAAGCCTGCTTCTCCCTCTCGCACTCCTCCTGCTTATGTTCCCTCTCTCACTGTGTCTCTCTCTGTCAAGTAAATAAATAAAATCTTTAAAAAAATAATAATAAATAAATAATAAAATTTTTTATCCCTTCTTTTCCCTTTTCTTTTCTTCCTCCTCTCTCTTCTTCATTTTTCTTCTGCTCCTGCTATTTCTCCCCACATATTTTATACATTCTGAGATTTCAGATATTTTTTTTTAGATACTACTGTTATACCTTCTCAGAACCCAAATAAAGAAAATAAAATCATACCTATTTGTAGATTGTTTCAACCATTTGAAGTTTGCAAGATCTTATGTATGAACTAAATGATTCTTATCAGGGCATGAAAGCTAGTTACTCAGTCCGATGTGATACAAACCGAAACTGGTCATTAGGAAGAGTCCCTTTCTATTTCTAAAGGCCTATTTGTTTATTCTTGGGCATCATAAATCCATTTTTCATACACTTTACTTTTTGAAATAGACTTTCCCAGAAATTATGTACCTTTTACATTTAGCTTGATTAATCTATGTTTCCTGTCATTATGGTATTATAGAAAATGTAAATAAATCTTAGGAATATCACATTATAATCAGTAACACTACCTAAAATGTTCACTTAGCAGGATATGAAGTCTTGATTTGCAGTTAACTCTTCTCTTTAGTTACACTTATTTTGACTAACTCATTTTTTCCTTAATATATCTTCAATGCATTATGGCAATTTTAAGCACACAGAAAATTAGAGAAAAGAATATAATGGACATCTCTACATCGGTTACATAGATTTAGCAATTGTCTTCATTTGATTATTTTTGGCTGAAGTATTTCAAAGCAAATTGCAGATGTCATTATATTTCATCCCTAAAATACTACAGCATGCTTTCTTTAAAGGAACTTTATTAAAAATCATAACTACCATAACATTGTCACATCTAATAAATAATCCCCTAAAATTATCTAATACTCAATTCATATATCTATATACCCTCCTGCTCCCAAAAGGATTTTTATTACTGGCTTGTTTAAAACAACATCCAAATACCAAACACTGCATTTTGTTGTTATGCCTCAAAAGTCTCTTTTAATCTAGAACAGTGCCAATCCCTGTTGTTATTATTATTATTTTCTAATAAGAATAACTTACTGAAGAGAGTAGGCCAGTTATCCTGTAGAATACTAACACTCATACTTTGCATTGTTATACTATGTGAACCTGAACAATTTTTCCATGTCCTTATCATATTTGTACAGTTTATTCCTATCTTCTGCCCAGTTATCTACAGATTTGGTTTCTCTTATGACTTTGAGATAGCTCTTTACATGTTAAGTACATTGAATTCAACTTTTAAACACTTTGTAACTTTCCATTGGGCATTTGATAAATTTTTTTTTTTTTTTTAAGACTACCCATTTATTTGAGAAAGAGAAAGCAGAAGCAGGGGTAGGGGGAGAGAGAGAAGCAGGCTTCCCAGGAAGCAGGGAGCCTGATGCGAGGCTCGATGCCAGGACCCCGGGATCATGACCTGCGCCAAAGGCAGATGCTTAACCAACTGAGCCACCCAGGCGCCCCTCATTTTCTTTTTTAAGAATATATGATCAAGTAAGTTAATTTCCTATTTTTCTTGCTTTGCTTGAGACCTAAGAAAATTATCATTCACCACACCTCTGTTAAATAGTTTCTTCTGTTTGTTTTTTTTTTAAGATTTTATTTATTTATTTGAGAGAGAGAGAATGAGAGCCAGAGAGCACGAGAGGAAAGAGGGTCAGAGGGAGCAGATTCCCTGCTGAGCAGGGAGCCCGATGTGGGACTCGATTCCGGGACTCCAGGATCATGACCTGAGCCGAAGGCAGTTGCTTAACCAACTGAGCCACTAAAGATGATATGTTTTAATACTATTTTAATTAGAAGCCGGCCACAAAGACGGAGCCGAGGCG